CACTGAGCCGCCGGGACTCGACGCTGCGCTGCGCTCCTGGCGGCGACCGGTGCCGTCGGGTCGGGCTGAGCGGGGCCGGCTCCGCGAAGCGGGGGGCGCACGCTCACCCACTGTGCGCCCTTATGTTCCCCGCGCAGGACGCTCTGCCCCGCGGCGGGCTCAGCCTGAAGGAGGAGCCGCTGCTGCCCGCCGGCCTGGGCTCCGTGCGCTCCTGGATGCAGGGCGCGGGCATTCTGGACGCCAGCACCGCGGCGCAGAGGTAAGCGGGCGGGAGAGCGGAACCTGGCGCTCGGGCCGGACGGCTAGGCCACCGTGCGCCTGGCCTCGGCTTGCTCAGCTGCTGGCGCGCGGGTGGGGGGCAGCCACAACTCGGCACGATCCAGACGAGCTCTCCCGCCCACCCCGTCCCAGCGCCTCTGCCGGCCGCCTGCCTTCTGAGGATGCGGGGCGGGGCTTCTGCCGCCACTCTGGGCTGTCCCGGCTCTGACTTCTAACTGTCGCTGACTCTCGGGCGCTTCCCACAGTCCCTGGTCTTGACCCACGGACACCAGCTGTGAAAGGAGCTGCCCGCCCCCACCCACCACTTCCTGGGCAGTGCCTCTAGTTCCCCTGGTCCAAACTCTCCACCCTCCCCTCCTTTCCCATGCCCCTCAGAGTGAGAGGGTGGGGGTGCGCGGAGCTGAGCCGGAGAAGCCGCCTGGGGGCCGAAGAGTGGGGGGAAGAATGAGGTGGGCAATTGGTTTGATGGAGTGATTGGGGTTAGGTCTAGGGCAGGGTCCTGCTGGACCCAGGAGGTCATGGAGGACCCAGCAATCACACTGTTTTCTCTGTCACCCTCAGGAATCTGGGGAGGGGTCCTCTGGGGGATTGGACTCCGAATCTGGTAGGGAACTTTAAGAGCTCGTTGACACCCTCCAGCACCTGGGCTCTGAGACAGCCCTTGGGGAGGGAGTTCATAGTGATTTGGACTAGGGAGGTGGTCACTGGAGGCTGCTGGGGCAGGGTGGGCACCGGGCTTCCTGGCGGGTCGGAGCAGCTGTTTGTCTAGCAGCTTAAACAGCTTCTGGCAGGGAGTTGCCAGGCAGAGGGACACAGCTGCCGCCACACACGCACATCCCCAGTCCCGCCCCGGCGACTCTGCTCACAGTTGAACCCTGTACCCTGGGTTCCACCAAATTACTCCTTTCCTGGCTGCGTTTCAGTGGGTGCCCCTGGGACTCAGTATCTCTTCCGGACTTGGGTCTTGCAAATGAATACCTTTCCCCTAAGTTTTACAGGTTAGCAAACTATATTCCAGAAAAATAGAAAAACACAAGCTCACCTCGGTGGATGTGTGAGTGTATTTCTTTACCATTAACATGCTTCTCCTGTGTGATCCATGCTGTTCCGTTTCTCCATCGCTGTTGCTTTTTAATTGAACTTGAGACCATTTCTTAACATGGTCAGCCTTGCCTGCTGCCCCACCACTGGCTGTGTGGTCAGAACTTCCTGGTAAGGGTAGGATGAGTGGTCAGGGTGGCTGCTGCCCACTAAGGGTTGGACTGCTAACTGCAAAGTCAGCAGTTCAAACCCACCAGCTGCTCCCCAGGAGAGAAATGACTGCCGCCTATTTCCACAAAGAATTTCAGCCTCAAAATCCCAACGTAAGGTTGCTATGCGTCAGAAATGGCTCAATGGCAGTAGATTGGGGTTTGGGGCCATCTCCCTCCAATTCAGCCCTCTGGTTCTGCCCAGAGCCAGCAGGTTGGCTGAGGGGGAAGCAGGGATGAAGGAGGAGGCAGTGCCTGTTGCCTGTGCGGAGTGCAGGTAGTTCGGGGTGATGGATGTTCAATCGCCCCAGAGACTGAGGCAGCCTGCAGTCTTGGGAGTGGGTTTCCATCTCTGGGCCTCAGAAGGTTCTCCGCCGTTTGAATAGGGGATGTCTTCAGGACGAGCTGCTCATCTCCGAATCCAGAGACTTCTGTTTCAGGACACACAGATTGGGGCCCCCGCCTGTTTGGTTGGCCGTAGGGCCCACACTTTTCATAGGAGAGCAGTCTCTTCCTCTCTCCTCCATCTCCAATGTTGCCTGTCATCTCTCCTACTTGTGTTTGATCCCGAATCCATCCTCCGCTCAGATCCTCGGGCCCTAAAACAACAACAACAAAACCAAGAATCCCGTTCACTGTCCTGACCCCTTCCTCACCCTCCCTCTCATCTCTGAGACCCTGACCCTCTCACACCATCACCCCTGCCCCCTGCCAGCAGGAGCACTGCTTGAGGGCTTTCCTTGCCTCCCCTTTCCAGGGAGCCACCTGGTTGTCAAGGCTTATAGATTCCCCCATTGGGTCCTGCTCCCCATCTCAACAGCCGTAGCCCCCACTTTTGCAAAGGAAGCATCCTAGTCTGCCACCACCTTCTTAAACATTTATTATTATTATTATTAATCATTTTATTGTGGGGCTCTTACAGATCTTATAACCATCCATACATCAATTGTATTAAGCACACTTGTACATATGTTGTCATCATTTCCAAAACATTTTCTTTCTACTGGAGCCCTTGGTATTATCGGCTTCTCTTTTTTTCTGGCCACCACCTTCTTCCTTGGCTTGAAGGATAACTGGCCTGGCTTACTACCTCGGTCTCCTAGCCTCGTGCCTCCGCCTCAGTGAGCCCTCAGAAACCCATCCTGCATGAACCTGGACCAGAGCAGGGTCCCCAAAGAACGTCGCTGATCATGCCTCTCCCCTGATGAAAGGCTTCAGGGACTCCCCACTTCCTCCACATATTCAGCCTCCAAGCCCATCACTCCCTGACCCAAACATTCCTTCCCTGCCTCTGTGTAATAGTTGGGATCTAACCACCTCGGGGGAACTAGTGCTTGCACTCCAGTCCTGTCTTCTCATGAGTGAATCCTCCTGCCACCAGTATCCACACATCCACTGAATGATGGGCAGGGTTCACCCGGGTACCTCCTCCCCGCCCTCTTCCGTGCCGTGGAACAGTTCTTGGGATTGCTTAGGATGGGCTGCTTCCTGTAGGTCACAGTCTGCTGTCCTGCTCATTGCCCTGGCTTTCCTGCCCTGCCAGCCTGGGCCTTCATCCCTGTGTACTGGGCACCTAGGGAAGCCAGGAGTGAATTCTTTCTAGAAGACTCCTGAAATCCCTTCCTGTTGGAGTGCTCCTTCCATAGTGGGGGTCTCCAAGTTCTACCTGAGCACCTGGACCTAGGTACCGGAGGAGCTAGTGTTTCCCGTATTAAAATGCCTAGGTTTTACAGAAGATGGGTGAGGAAGAAAACACCCAATCATTGGGGAGGTTCAGCTAGTGGGAAGGTGAGACAGGGAAGGGGTGGGGGTGGGGCTGCCTACTCTTAAAATGGAGGCAACAAGAAGACCAGCAGGGTCTCCCTGATGGGGAGCCAGGAGCAAGAGCCCAGTTAAGGGATCCCAGTCATTGCTGCCACTACCCTCTGTCAACAAGACCTTACCTCTGTGACTCACACGTCCAATCCCAGACCACCTTCTCCAGCCTCCCTGCACCCCACATCTTCCTGCAGAGGGCTCAGCACAGATGTAGTTCTCGACTCCTTCCCATGGACTTCTTAGCCTGGGGAGACCTCTGGGGGCCCAGGCCAACCCTTACTCTTGGAGAGACCCCTGGAAGACCCCAGCCAGCCAGCTCCCTGAGCCGACTCCAGTATAGAAGCAGGGCCCCAGAGAGGGAAGCCAGATGGGCTGCTTTCCTGTAAGCAGCTGCAGGCTAGCCTCCCTGCTAGGAAATGCTTTTGTTTGCTTTAATAATTAATAACCGCTTCTCAGCCTGAGGCTGGCAGGCAGGCCTAGGGGTGGGCAGAGAGAAACGGGCTGATAGTCTTTAGGGGGATGGAGGGCAATTGTGAGGGCAAGAGGAAGAGTGGAAGAACAGACTAGTGAGACCCTCTCTGTCAGCCCTTGCCGCCTCCAGGGACCTTGGTTGTTGAGGTGGTGGGAGGAGGGCGTATGAAGCTTCTCTTGTCCCTGAAGCAGGACCGTCTGAATATGGGATCCGGACAGTGGGCCCAACCCCAGGCCTTTCCTCCACCTGCACGGTTGAGATGGGGGAGCTCAAGCTTTTAGCTGTTGCTTTGGTCTTCCCTGGTCCACAGCTCTGCCACGCTCCAGTTATGTCAGAGGCTGGGCAGGGTGAGGTCAATGGGTCTTGGTTGGAGGCAGGAACCTCTGGGTCTAGCTGGATGATTACTAGGCAGTCCCAGGAGTCCGGAGATGCCTTCAGGGCCAGCGGGAAGCTTGGAGGAAGGGAAGATGCAGACGAAAGGAGGGGAAGGAGCACCACGGAGGGGCGGAGGAGGAGTCACGTCAGGACTGGGCAAAGAAGGGCTGGCTTAGGGCAATCTGGGACAAGGGGTGAGGTCCAAGAGGCACACACTCAGGTCCTTGCCCTCCTGGGGGAGACGGGCGGGAGGGAGCAACAACACTGCCCAGGGCCTTCAGGACCTGTTCCCATCTCCCCAGCACCTCAGACCGGAGACCGACCGCGGGGGAACCTTGGGCTGACAAGAATTCAGGTTTGAGCTTGGGGAGGAAGGCGCCCCATGGTGCCCCTGCATGGACTCCAAGGTTCCAGCCCACCCACTGCCCTCTGTGGGGGGCTGGAATGATGGTTGGTTAAGCTGGCCCTATGTCTTTCTTTTCTTTTTTTTAAGTAATTTTATTGGGGGCTCTTACAGCTCTTATCACAATCCATCCATCCATCCATTGTGTCAAGCACATTTGTACATATGTTGCTATCATCATTTTCAAAACATTTTCTTTCTACTTGAGCCCTTGGTATCAGCTCCTCATTTTCCCCTCCCTCCCTCCTTCCCACACCCCTTCCCCCCTCCCCATGAACACTTGATAATTTATAATTTATTATTATTTTTTCATGTCTTACAGTGACTGATGTCTCCCTTCACCCACTTTTCTGTTGTCCGTCCCCTAGGAGAGGGTTATATGTAGATCATTGTGATCGATTCCCCCTTTCTCCTACTGCCTTCCCCTTCCCCTCCTGGTATCACTACTCTCATTATTGGCCCTGAGGGGTTTATCTGTCCTGGATTCCTTGTGTTTCCAGCTCTTACCTATACCTGTGTATATGCTCTGGTCTAGCCGGATTTGTAAGGTAGAATTGAGGTCATGGTAGTGGGGGGGGGGGAGCATTATAAAGAAGTAGAGGATAGTTGTATGTTTCATCGCTGCTATACTGCACCCTGACTGGCTCATCTCTTCCTTGTGA